GAGGGAAGGGGAGAAGCAAAGAGTAAAACCAGTGCAGTGTTTTTAATCTCTATCTGGTATAATTATATTTAAGACTAAAAAGGCTTCATTTAGGACTGTGTGTGAAAGCAACACAGCAGTGTGCTTCCAACTACTCTGATTCTCAGCTTCACTTACGTCGAAACGAATGCAGGTGTACAACAGCTCTCATCTTAGTCCTAATATAGTCAGCCACAAAACTCACAGACTCTAAGAGAAGCCAGATGTGCACTCGAGTCTTCTGTAAAGCTAGCAAACAAAATAGGTTACCAGTCTGAATCCTAGATCTATACGCTTTTTTTCTGTTAGGTTGTGAGCTGCAAAATACAGTGGCAGCTACCAGCTAAATCTCCAGGTGGGTCAATTTCCCTTTTTTTCTCTTTTCCTTCTTCTTTTATCTTATTATTAAACAAGGTCTTTACTTTATTTCTGAGTTTACTAGCCAAACCTGTGAGAGTTATGCCCGTGGAATGAAATAAATGCATTTCTTGAACATATAGTCTTTAGTAGTACATGGTCATTAATAGTAGTTTCTTAGAGATTCATGACAAACCACACTTTAATATCCCTCCCTCAAACCAACAGTTGTATTTTCATTTGTGATAGAATGGCTTTCATTATAGCAAATGCAGTCAGAACATGAAGACTGATACAAGGTCTGACTTTTTTTTTTTTTTTTTTTTTTTTTTTTACCCAAAATCTCCTTAATTTAATTGTGTGATTTATGGGAAATAAGATTATGCATTGCTTCAAAGCAGTGCCATATGGCAGCCTATATCATCTATCGACGTAACTCTATGATGCTTAGTGGAAAACCATTACCAATATCTCTTTTCAATACCCACTCAAATAATATCTTGTTGCCAGCATAAGCACCACTTTCCTCTACACACTGATTTAGTGGCATTCTTAGGGCTTTAAGATTTGGATTGAGCTTCTAAATCTGCAGTGTACTGATAATTCAGCAATTAACTTTATGCTATAGTTTAAATCATATTTAATGAAAATAGTGACATTATATTTAGCTATCTGTCTCTAGAGAGATCTGATTCATAGAGCTGATAAAAAAACAAAAAACAAACAAAAAAAACCCTACGTTATTTCTGATGTCAAGAGGAGATTTGATTTTGTGAGAGGATTTGGGGTGGATTTTTTTTATTATTATTCACTGATTTATAAAGAAGCTGAGATGGAAGCATCTGGAACAGATTGCATCTAGTTTATGCTTCAGTAAAGGCAGCCACAATTTTTGATTTTGATAATAAACAGTGAATTCTATGTTCTTGTAAGTTTAAAAATCTTCCCCAAACCTTCTGTACAATGGAAGTTATCTCAAGATTTTATGAACGCATTCATGAATATTGATATGGAAAAATGTATTTCTTCAGCGACTAAATAAGTGATAGCAATAGAAATTATTCTTCTGCTAGAAAATAATTTATCAGATTTTGCAGGCATGTACATAACCCAGTCTGCCAGACCTGGAACTGTACTAACTGGCACGTTCTTCCATGCTAGATGAAAGTGGCTTTGCATATGCTACATATAATGTTTGATTCATGGACAAGTCAGTGAACTACCCGGGTCCTCTGTGGCAATGAATTACTCCCGGTGTGAGCAGGAGCTTAGGCTGATAAGGAATGATCATAATGTAAAGTTCTTTAACTTTTTGTATGGGAACACACATACAGCCTGCTTACCCATTGCAGCAAAGACATACTAACAAGGCAGCCACATTCCCTTGGCACAAATGAATAAAACTTTTGCTTAATGTTTCTTCTGTTGCCAAAACTCAGTGTACAAGGGACCTTGAGTTAGGACTGTAAATATGGCTCAAGGATTAGTAACCCTGAAGGCCTTTTCCCCTCTGTTGTATCCACATGAGGATGTGTCTCCATTAAAGCTCTACAAGGAGATAATCACCTTTCATTAAGGTAAAAGCAGCTGTTTACTGTTTTGTTTATTTCAGTATGATGTTCATGATGTTCCTACAGGTAAGGTCAAAAAATACTTCAGTCTTATGAACACTTCAGTCAATGTATTTTAACTCTGAAGTGTCAGTTTAATTTAGTAGGAAGATTTGCCTTCATCATTGGCGTATTCTGCAAGTTTCATATGAGTTGGTTTTGTTTTGTTTGTTTTCTTGCTTTTTTTCTTGTTGTTTTAGCTTGTTTGTTTTAGATTTATGGAGAAGATTCTGGATTGGAACTTTGAAAATGAAGTTATCTGGACCCAAAATAGGATGTAAGTTGTTCAAAACCTGCATAGTTTGTAGCTAAGTGAAGTTCATTTACCAGGTTGAGATGAAAATCTTGTGTGTTTTATTTTTTCCTCAGCAATGTTGTGCTTGGAACAAGATGGCATTCAAGTTTTCCATTATATTTAATTTAGAAAAGTGAAGATGCTTAAACAACTTTATTTTTTCCTATTCTGAGATAGTACAGAAAATAAACTGTGCCTAAGCTTTCGTGTTTGTTTCAACAAAATAAGATATACTGACAGTGCTGCAGCTCAGCACCCAAGCACAGCAAGGAGCGCCTTTGCTTTCCCCAGCTTGAAGCAGCAACTCTGAGCCATGCAAAATCAGGACACTGCACAACATCGGGTCATGCAGCCTGTGACTGTAAGAGTTGTTTTAGTGTGAACAATCAGGCCCAGGGATTCTGTGCTGAGGTATATAAGTGGCGTTCTTTATTTATTTGGGCTGTTACGCATGCCTTAGTCAGGCAACTGTAAATAAGGTTTTATCTTGCTGCTTTCAGGCCGTTTATTGTCCTGGAGGAGAAGCTCAGGACTGTGGGAATTCCTGGGCTGTTTGTTCACTCCTGATTTTGGAATGGCAAATTCAGGAGTTGTCTTCCTCATGCCTTCAGATGTCTATGCCTTCAGATCACGGGAGGGAGAGTCTACTCCACTGAAATCCACTCCTTGCTGGATGAGGACATGGTGAGCTTCAGAGTGTGGGAAATTCCTCTCATGTTGCAGTGCAGGCTTCAACTAAGGGAAGGAGCTCGAAGGCGTTTTGTTTAATTGATAACTACTACAACAAGCCAACTGTTTGCTTTTACTATTCTCCTGCCTTCAACGTTTAACCTCTGTTTCACTAACCAGGCAGTAAACCACGAGAGTGAAAATAACCCCCCACCTAACTTCTAGCCACTTCTATTTGGATCTGTGGCACAGTAGGGCTGATGTGTCTTGGGGGAACCAGCTAGGTAGAGCTGCAGCCTCCCAAGGGTTTTCTGTCAGCTCTCACAGTTGTTCCTGTCAGGAGACAAAATAGAGGATGATACCAGATCTTTCATTTCAATGCCTGAGTTTGTTGATGTTTATTAAAGAGGACCACCTGACTGTGTGTTTTGTATGCCAGGTGCACATCATTCAGCAATTCTGTAATCTGTTTCACTCAAAGCAGTATTTCAGAATTTCACTTGAAACACTGGGGAAGCTCATTTTTCTTCCAGGATAAACTAAAAATCTTGCTTCGTACTGCTCAAGATGCATGCAGAAAAATCTGGGGTGTGAAACATGTGATAAATCACCACCATCCCTGCAAGAGCAATGATAAAAAGCCCTTCTCCTAGAAGGGAGCATTGTAAAATTGGCCATAAAGTAAGTAGATGGTTTGCGGTGGTGCAGACTGTGTACAAACACAGGGAGGTGCCTTCCTGCAACATCAATACCGATGTTTTTCAGGCACCCCCCCCCCCCTTTCTCCCACCCTCAACAGATTATTTGCAAGCAGCTGTTCAGCTCTTCCTTACGCTGCGGTGCTGTGGGATCTATCTTTGTCCTGTGGAGGATGCTTTCTGCTGCCCCTCACCGAGCACAGCAGACAGTTTATGAAGCCACAAAGCACGCTCTTGGGTCGCATCCCGCTCTTTGTAGGGAAACAAACCCTCTCCCAATCGACCATCAACAGGTGCTGCGCGCACACGTGTGCCAAACTTTCCCCCAGCTGCCGCAAGTAGCTGCCCACGGGAAGAACGAAGCCGTTTGGCTGCGGGGAACAAAGGCCCAAGAGGGGCACAAACAGTCACAACGCGGCAAGGGGACTCGGCAGCGGTTCGCCGACTCCTCGGGGGTGCGGCCGCAGGTGGGGCTTCCTCCTGAAGTGTCGGCAGGCTGCGGCCGAGCCCCGCGCCCGACCCGGGGTCGGTGCGCGCGCTGAGGGGGGAGGCGGCAGGGGCGGTTTTTAACCCCTTCCCCGCCGGGCGGCTCCGGAAGCGGCGGCCCCTCGAGGCGCGGCGCTGTGTCCTGTGCCCGGGCGGGGAGGGCCGGCGCAGGGTGGGGGCGAGAGCGGGGCGGGGGGGCCGCGGGAGCCGCTCCCTCCTCGCCCAGCCCGGCCCGGCAGCGGGAGGAGGGCGCAGAGCGCAGACATGGCGGCCAACATGTACCGAGTGGGAGGTAGGTGGCGGCGGGGCAGCACCCGCACGGCGACCGCGGCTCCGCGTCCCGCGGCGCTCCCGACCCGCCGGGCTGAGAAGGGGCTCGCCGCTCCCCATCGCTTTCCTTCCGCAGCGCCGCGGCCTCGAGCGGCGCACCCGAGCCCGACCCGGGGGGAAGCGCAGGACGCGGGTTCTTCCCCGCAGCCCCGCGCGCAGGGTGGGAGGCCGCCCCGCGCCGAGCGGCGCAAGGGCAAAGCTGCCCGCCGCAGGGAAGGAAGGAAAGGGGAGCGGCGCCGCCGGCTTCTTCCCGGGCCGGGCCGGGCATGGCATGGCCGCCCTTCGCGCCTCTCGCGGCGGCCGTGTGAGCCCGGGCGGCCTGGCGGGCGCTGCGCCCCCCGGCCCTCTGGCACGGCGGGGCCCGGCCCTGCTGCGGCCTGGCGGGCCCGGACGGCGTGGTGCGGGCGGGCAGCACGGGGCCGTCCGTGGGCGCTGCGCTGGGGGCCGCGCCTCGGAGCTCTCCGAGTTCCTGCGCGCCTCCCCGCATCTCCTGGAGATGAATTGCGCATCGGTACGGGTAGATGGAGTGATCTGCCGGCTCGCTGATAGATGGCCGCTTGGTATACGGCGGGAGCGAGGAGTCTCTTGGGAGCGAAAGAAACATTGGATTTTCCATCCCCGGCCTGTCGAAATTGACTCCGATAACTTTCCATCCCCTCCTCCCCCGCCGTGGAACGAACGTGGCTGTGTTCCGGTTCTGCCGCTCAGGTGCATTGCAGAAGTTTACTTTTCATTCCTGGCTCCTGCTCCTTGCCAAGCGCGATGCTAGCAGGGAGCCGTGTCCTCTCTTCCATCTCTTCAGTCTCTTTCTGTGTCGGATTCAAGGTGTGCTGACATACCCACAGTTCGCCCTTCTGCACACTCCTTCATTGGGGCGTTGAGGCTGTAATCCCATCAGCCTTTACTCATTGCAGTAATCCGTACCCAAGCAGTGCTGTTGATGTCTTGGTTGGGTTCGTTTCTTAGATCATTGAGTTTATTTGTCGTAACTTTAAGGGTGGGTGATAACCAGAGGGAGATCTTCCTTCAGTGCTATTTGAAGTACCTGAGGCTCTACCTGGCTTTAACCTCACATCAAAGCATCGCAAAAGGTTTTTTTATGTCCTTGTTCCTCTCACTCCCTTTTCTTTTTAAGTAAAACTTGTGAGACACATTGTGCAGAAGTCAGATACGGAGTGCAGAGTGTGATCATCGTTTGATGGCTACTTTTTCATTTGATACAAGTTTTGAGAAACCTATAGGAGATGTTTTGTGTGTCAGTTTTTTTGTTGTTGTTGTTGTTTGCGTGTTCCTTGGGAGTAGCTTTTAGGATGTGAGCAAATTTCCATATACTCTGTGAGAATACTTTTACTATAGTGACCCTAGAAGAGATTTTGGCACAGGATAACCTCACAACTTGAGGCTCTGTTATGGTTGAATGTAGTTTACGTGTTACTGAGGAGAGATAACAACGAAGCCAAGTGTCACAATATGTGCATTACTCATCTGGACAACTGTGTTACTGAAGCAATGGGATAATGAATGTGAGGTAGCATATGTTACACAGGTATTATTTCTGTAATCTAGAAACTCATTAAGACCTCTCTTCTTAAATCTCCCTTAATGACAGAATGGTTGAGGTTGGGAAGGACCTCTGCAGGTCACCTGGAGGTCACTCTAGCTTCAGAAAAACTTTTGCACAAAAAATATATTTTTAGCTGTGTTATTTTTTTAATTAATACAATGTCTTTCTTTCTTTCTTTCTTTCTTTTTCATTGCAGATTATGTTTATTTTGAAAATTCCTCCAGCAATCCGTATCTCATTAGGCGAATTGAAGAGCTTAACAAGGTACACAAACATCCAAGGCTCCTGCTTAGTTTTCAGCAACTGTCAGTGCACTTTTCCAAAACCAGGGGTGACTTCAACATCCCAAAAGATTTCTGTTGGTAGAATTTTCTGAATCCTTTTTTACTTCCTTGAGATTTGTTCTGCGTTTGTTTGTATTTCAGTTATTAAAATACTGCCATGTGATAAGCTGGAATTCTACCCTGTTATCTAAGGAAACGCCCAGTTTATCATTCTCAGTGAACAGGAGTTCCCTGCTGTTTAAAAAAAAAAAAAAAAAAAAAAATCCAAACCAATCATGTGGATGATTGAGGAAGTTACTAAATTTAATTCTTTTCATGATGATGACACTGACTCCATCTGGAGTGATGGCAATGATGTAATGTATCTGCTTCTGGATACCTATGTAAAGAGCTTGTAGGTGTCAGTGAGACTTTTCAGCGATACAGTAACAATATGTAGCTCCCGTGCATGTTTCTTAGGTTGCTTTTTGTAGCTTCAAATGGGAGATTGTGAATTGAAATTGATACTGTATTCTCTCTCTTTGCCCCCAGTGTATTTTTATATGGGGGATGGAGATTTTTCAGTGTGTGGGAAAAGCATGAACATTTCTTAGTTCTTATACTACTGTGACTTTTAGAAATAATAAAGCAGTGTGGTTGTTTTTTTTTGTTTTTTACTATTCCATCAAGCAATATTATTAATTACTAATAAACTGTGA